CGTTCAGCATTGATTGGGCACCAACTGTGGCCCTCAGACCTCTTGGATCCCGGATCATCCCCAGACCAAAGATGAGGTAGAGCAGTCTTTGGGGAAAAGACAGCCTGCCTTTGGGAGACGTGGGGGGAACAATCATGAGAAGTTGGCCAGGGCGGGGAATGTTCTGGAGGGTGAGAGAGGAGAAGAGTCTAGGGAGGCTCCTGGATGTCTGGGTTTTTGATGAAGACTCTCCTCGATTTGGGGAGGCTTGGGGGCACGGGGCAGGTTTGAGGGTGGCCTGGGAGCCTCCCACCCAGATATCCCAGCGGACAAAGGCACTGGACACGGGCATGAGCTTGAACTTCCACGTTGGAAGACATGCTGGATCTTCTGCGCAGGGAATGCACACGCAGCTAAGACATCCACCTTTCCCCTTGGAAGAAGGCAGGAAAAGGAAAAAATAAAAATAGGTGGGGTCGGGGCAGGCAGGAGGCAGAGTGAGATGTTTCATCGTCCCTGTAGGAAGGAAGCGAGTCAGAGCTGGCCTGGGCCTTCCCACCCTGCGTCCTTTGGCAACGCTTTTTGCTGACAGGGCAAAGCTTACTCAGCTGGCTGGCCCTCAGGACAGGCCCACAGGGAACGAGGAGACGGTTCCGGTGTTGAGTCAGAAGGATCTGGGTTGGAATCCCCGTGCCTTCCCTGCTTATCTGTGTGAGCTTAGTTAGGTCTTTTAAAAAACTGCTCTGGGGCACCCAGACATCCACTGTGGACCAAATCGGCCTTTGACCCCTACCTCATGCCACACGCAAAATTTCAACCTGGGGCGAAGCCCTTTCTCATTCTGAGTCTCCTCTGGGAGGTCATCTCCCCCTTGCAGAGCTGTTGAGTTCTATGAGACACAATGAGTGCGTGTAAAAATAGAGAAATCTGAATAAAATCTCTTGATTGTATGAATATCAACTTCCTGGTGGTGATAATGTACCACAGTCGCGTAGGATGTTGGTATTAGGGGAAGAAGCAGGTCTTTCTGTATTCTTCCTTTATTATTTTTAACGTTTTATTTATTTTTGAGAGAGAGAGAGAGAGAGAGAGGTAGAATGTGAGCAGGGGAGGGGCAGAGAGAGAGGGAGACACAGAATCCAAAGCGGGCTCCAGGCTCAGAGCTGTCAGCACAGAGCCCGATGCGGAGCTCAAAGTCACGAATGGTGAGATCATGATCTGAGTGGACTGAGCCACCCAAGGACGCCTATTCTTCCTTTTTTAAAAAATAGCTTTATTAAAACAATTTTTAAATGTTTATTTTTATTTTTGAGAGAGAGACAGAACACAAGCAGGGGAGGGGCAGAGAGAGAGACAGACAGACAGACAGACAGAATTTGAAGGAGGCTCCAGGCTGAGCTGTCAAAACAGAGCCTGATGCCGGGCTCGAACTCACAGACCGCAAGATCATGACGTGAGCCAAAGTTGGACACTTAACCGACTGAGCCACCCAGGCACCTCTAAAAATAGCTTTATTGAGATATAACTCATAAACCATAAACCACCCTTTTAAAGTGTTCAATTCAGTGTTTTTTAGTATATTCACAAAGTCATACAACCATCGCCACTATCTAATTCCATAATATTTTCATCACTCTCACAAAGAAACTGTGCCCATTAGCGGTCATTTCTTATTCTTGCCTTCCCCCACCTTGTGCTAGCCACCAATCTACTTTCTTAAAAAATTTTTTTAAAAATGTTTTATTTCATTTTGAGAGCAAGAGAGACAGTGCATGAGCAGGGAGGAGCAGAGAGAGAGGGAGGGAGACACAGAATCCGAAGCAGGTTCCAGGCTCTGAGCTGTCAGCACAGAGCCCAACGCGGGGCTCGAACCCACGGACCGTGAGATCATGACGTGAGCCGAAGTTGGATGCTCACCTAACTGAGCCCCCCAGGTCACTAATCTACTTTCTGTCTCTAGATTGGTCTATTTTGGACCTTTCATATAAATGGACTCATATAATACATGATCTTTTATGTCTGGCTTCTTTCACTTGGTGTCATGTTTTTAAGATTCCTCCACGTTTAGCATGTTTCAATATTTCATACCTTTTTGTGGCTGAGTAATATTCCATTGCATAGACAGTTCACTTTTTTTTTTAAATTTTTTTTAATTTATTTCTGAGAGAGAGAGAGACAGAAAGTGTGAGCAGGGGAGGGTCTGAGAGAGAGGGAAGACACAGAATCTGAAACAGGCTCCAGGCTCCAAGCTGGCTGTCAGCACAGAGCCCAATGTGGGGCTTGAACCCACGAACCGTGAGATCATGACCTGAGCCGAAGTTGGACACTTAACCGACTGAGCCACCCAGGTGCCCCTAGACAGTTCACATTTTATTTTTCCGTATATCAGCTGGAAGGCATTTGGATGGTTTCAACTTTTGACTATTCTAAATAACACTGCTATGAATGTTCACATTCAGGTTTTTCTATGAACATATGCTTTCGATTCTGTCTTTTTATAACTGCATGTGAATCTAGCATTATTTCAAAATAAAAGTTTAATGAAAGGAAAAAAAAAAAAACAGACTTGCTGGGGCACCTGGCTGGCTCAGTTGGTAGAGCATGTGACTCAATCTCAGAGTCATGAGTTCAAGCCCCATGTTGGGCGTAGAGATTCCTTTAAAAGAAACAACAAACTTGCAATGCTGAGGGATTAAGATCCCCTATCAAAAATGACAGAAAATAGGGGCGCCTGGGTGGCTTAGTCGGTTAAGCGTCCGACTTTCGCTTAGGTCATGATCTCGCGGTTCGTCGGTTCGAGCCCCGCGTCGGGCTCTGTGCTGACTGCCAGCTCAGAGCCTGGAGCCTGTTTCAGTTTGTGACTCCCTCTCTCTCTGACCCTCCCCTGCTCACGCTGTCTCTCTCTCTCTCCTAGAAATAAATAAAAATATTTTAAAAAAATGACAGAAAATAATATATTATTTTGTAAAGTGGGGGACAAACTTTGTGAAGATAGTAGAACACATACAGCTCTTTGGAACGGAATGATGGATTGGAGTGGCACATAGGAACCTTCCAGGCTGACCTGGATGGTGGTTACCCATATAAAAAATTAACCAAACTCCACACCTAAAATTAGTGCATTTCATGCATGTTCTTAGGCGAATGACATACTGCAGTAATAGAGCATAATGAAAAATGTAAATTGACATTTCACCACAAATTTGAAAAAATGTTACTGAGGTGTCTGGGTGGCTCAGTTGGTTACGCGTCCGATTCTTGATTTTGGCTCAGGTCATGATCCCAGGGTCGTAAAATCGAGTCCCGTGTCAGGTTCCACGCTGAGCGTGAATCCTGCTTAAGAATCCTTCTGCCCCTCCCCCACTCTCAAAAATAAAAACAATAAAAATGTTTTTTAAGGGAAAAAAAGAAAAAATATTACAAAAAATGTGAATGGGGGTAAGGCAATTCATTTAAGGTGAAAAATGAGGTAGATTTATGAGGATAAAGCTGCACTTCCATTCACAATGCAGAATTGGTAAACAAAACAATTTGCAGATATATGTAAAGTAGAATCACATTTTAGTAAAATAAAGTGTACACACACACACACACACACACTCACACACTTCTGCATCTGTGTACTTATTCCTGGCAGGATGCATATCAAACTGCTCTCCCAAGGGCACGGTGGGGGTTTTCTCTTTCTTTCACAGAACTTGGCAAATTTGAATTTTTCACACTGAGCATATATTATTTTTGTTGATATATAATTGAAAGTAACATCATACTAGCTTCAGATGTACACAGATTTAATATTTGTATATATTGCCAAATGATCACCATAGCAAGTTGAATTAATTTCCACGATCACACATCCTTAAAAACATTTTTTTTCTTGTGATGAGAACTTTGAAGATCTACTCTCTTAGCAACTTTCAAATCGGCAATACATGGTCACCCCGCTGGACATTCCTTCTCAGGATTTATCTATTTAATATTTGGAAGTTCATACCTCTGACTCCCTTCACACATTTGCCCCCCCATTTTATTTTATTTTATTTTTTTATTTTTTTAATGTTTTATTTATTTCTAGGAGAGAGAGAGAGCGTGAGCAGGGGAGGGTCAGAGAGAGAGGGAGTCACAGACTCTGAAACAGGCTCCAGGCTCCGAGCTGGCAGTCAGCACAGAGCCCGACACGGGGTTTGAACCCATGAACCGCAAGATCATGACCTGAGCCAAAGTCGGACGCCTAACCGACTAAGCCACCCAGGCGCCCCTATTTTTATTTTTTTTTTAATGTTTTATTTATTTCTGAGAGAGACAGACAGCATGAACAGGGGAGGGTCAGAGAGCAGAGAGTGAGGGAGACACAGAATCTGAAGCAGGCTCCAGGTTCTGAGCTGTCAGCACAGAGCCCGACGCGGGGCTCGAACCCGCGAACCGTGAGATCATGACCTGAGCCGAAGTCGGACGCTTAACCGACTGAGCCACCCAGGTGCCCAGGTTGCCCCCACATTTTAATTTAAAATAAAATAGGGGCGCCTGGGTGGCTTAGTCGGTTGAGCGTCCGACTTTCGCTCAGGTCATGATCTCGCGGTTCGTGGGTTCGAGCCCTGCATCGGGCTCTGTGCTGACTGCCAGCTCGGAGCCTGGAGCCTGTTTCAGTCTGTGACTCCCTCTCTCTCTGACCCTCCTCTGCTCACGCTGTCTCTCTCTCTCCTAGAAATAAATAATAAAAAAGAAATATTAATAAAATAAAATAAAATAAAATAACAAAAGGAAATTCTGTTTTAATGAATTACCTCTTTGGGGTGCCTGGGAGGCTCAGTCGGGAACTTGTCCAACTTCAGTTCAGGTCATGATTTCACCACGGTTCGTGGGTTCAAGCTCTGTGTCGGGCTCTGTGCTGACAGCTCGGAGCCTGGAACCTGCTTCGGATTCGATTCTGTGTCTCCTTCTTTCTCTCTCTGCCCCTCCCCCACTGGCGCTCTGTCTCTGTCTCTCAAATAAAAGTTTAAAAAAATTTTTTAAAGACTTACTGTTTTTCCTTGTAACTTGTCTCTCTCATCCGCATCATGGATCAAGGCTGGACCCTGGACAAGTCACCTGCCCCTTTCTGGGCCTCAGTTTCTTCTGTAAAATGGAGAGCAAGAGTAGACCCTGTAAGGGCAGATTTGGGTATACTAGGCCTGCTCCTCGCCTCAAGGCTAGACAAGTTTGGGGCGCTGCTCTTGTTCCAGGGCTTCCTCTGGGATCAGGCTGGGGCTGCACCGTCAGGCTGGACTCTGCCGAGGGGGAGTGCCAGCCTTTTCCTTCCTACATCGGCTATTGCTACGTGCGTGCACGCGCGCATATGTTAAGCAGAGGAAAGCAGTATAAAATTCAGTTTTTAAACATGTCTTAGGCACAGTAACTACATTATATCTCAATCTCCCCTGTGCCCTTGGAGGAAGGCAGCATGATTATCATCCTTCCTGTTGTACAGACCAGGAAACTGAGGCTCACAGAGATGCAGCTACCTGTCCAAAGTCACACAGCCAGTGGGAGGAGCTGCGATTTGAACCTGAGCTGTCTGGGTCCAGAGTCTTTGCTTACAATCACTTGCTGCTGTCTTTCATCTCATGAGCGTTCATAGTCTGAAACACCATAAAACTGGAGTTTAACAAAGCATATCTCTGGGTGGAGGAACAGAAAAGCAATTTCTCTGCTTTTGGCTATTCTGCATTTTCTAAATCGTCTGCAGTAGGTGAGAAGTGTTGCGTACTAAGAAAAAGAAAGGCTTTAAAATATTGAGGGTTCTTGTTGGGGGAAATGATAGGTAATTTCTGTTTACTTTTTCCTTCTGCTTATCTCGTCGGTTGCTTTTTCTCCAGTGGAGTCACATTACTTGGATAACAACAACAAAAATAATAAGCCCATTTTTCAAATGCTGGAAGGCAGGGCCTGAAAATACCAACAGAGATTATCGCTCTGTGCTGAGCGATTATGGGAGAGGTTGTGACTTTTTCCGTTTGTTTTCTTTTCTGCCTCTTTGATTCTCCATCAGGAAATTACCCAACGTTTTTAAAATTAGGGGGAAATGATCGTGTAAAGTCCTGGGGGTGGGGCAGCTCCCCGGGGTGCACCCTCTCGCAGGGACTGGTTGGGTGGGTGGGTCTCGGCCCCTGTGCCCAGTTTGAGTTCCGAGGGCTGATGGGTGCAGGCAAGGGTCACGGGCTCTGCATTTCTTGGAGGTGCCAGCACTGTGGATCTTTGAGCAGGAATGCCCCCTTGGGGGCTCCGTAAACAGAGATCAGACTTTGTCACCACCCCCTCCCTGTGTTGGGGTGACGATGACAGAAGAGGCATCAGCTCAGGCAGCGGTCAGAGTCGCCCTCCCCTGCAGCCCAGGGTTCCGATCGAAAGTCAAGAGACTTCCTGAGCAGCTGTTTTTGCCTCTGACAACGAGAGGCTGACATGCGGCCAGCATGCAGTTGGTGTCCTATTATTGCTCTCAAGAAGCATAGAGAGGATGCCCGCTCCCCACTGCAGAGTAAGGATCCTGGTCAGAGAAAGTTTCTCCCTTGCAGGACGTTGAAGTGGAAACTGGTCTCGGGATGGAGCAGAGGGGGCAGATCTTGAGGAAGACCTGTCTGCAGAAGCTGCTTCCCCTCTGCCACCTGAGGGACGTCCCCGGCCTCTGGGTGTCCACCTGTGCATGGTTTCTCACGTGTGCTCCATGTTCCTGCACTCGTTCTTGCAGATTCCCTCTGCCAGGGTCGCCCCCATCACCTTGCCACCTGCTGAACTCCTATTCATGCTTTAATACCCAGTGCCGTTTTCCTAGGAAGTTTTCTCTAACCCCCGGCGGGGCCCAGCCCTCACTCTGGGGTCCCCCAGCCTCGATTTCTCCCTTCAGCCTGGCCCTGGCCCTGTGGGGCTGGGAGTGCCTGGGTTTGGCTCTGCATTTCAGCCAGCGTGGATATCTTCAGGACGGAGGTCTTCCCTGGGTCCAGAATCACTGGGCCCTGGAGCCGAGCACAGAGCAGAGGCGTCCATAATAGTTGTAAACATATGATGCACCAGCTCCTGGACCTGCCTTCTTTTTCTGCAAAGAAGTCATCTGTTTCCAGGCTCAACGTGGAGCACTGGCGGCCCCTAATTTTGTAGCCAAAGGGGAAGATTTGAAGGGAAATCAGCCTGCAGTTCCCCCGCGGAGCTGGCTCTTGGGGACAGCTACAGGGGGAGGCCAGATGGCCCGTGGCATCAAATACTCCTGACGCTGTCATTCTGTGAGAGGCAGCTGAAGTTTTGGCTCAGCAACACACAGCTCTCGGTGAGATTTCTAGTACTGGGAGAAACCGGAAGCAGGACCCAGACCCCACCCCAAAGGCCTGGTGAAGTGAGGCCACATGACAGTGACAGGGCAGGAAGAGAGCAGGAATCAAAACAGTCCTCACACGTGGAACACCATGCCCGCCCCAGCAACTCCACAGAAACGGGACACAGATGGGCCCAACAGCACCACTGCTAGTCACCCTGACCAGAATCCACCCAAAAGGCACCTCCGCGGGAGGATGGAGATACTGTGCTGGACGCAGTCTGTGGAATAGTATACGGTCAAGAAAAAGAGTCATGGCCCAGCCCACCCCCACAGGGAAGGACCTCAGGGTCATTATGCTGGAGAGCTGCTCTCACCTCTGTGTGACTCTACCCCAGGCCAAACTACTAAATCAGTCCACGTGATACACCGCCTTAACAGAAGGATGAAAATCACACGATCATCACAATCGATGCGGAAAAAGCATTTGACAAAATCCAATGCCCGTTCATGGGAAAAAATATTCAACAAGGAAGCGAAGTGTGCTTCCACAGAATGATGAAGCCATAAAGAAAAAGTCATAGCTGACATTATACTCAGGGGTGAAAGATGAAAAGCTCTTCCTGTAAGATCAGGAACAAGACGACTGTCTTAATCCATTCAGGCTGCTATAAAAAAAAGTGCCACATAGACTAGGTGGCTTATAAAAAACCAGAGATTTATTTCTCATGGTTCTGGAGGCCGGAATTCTGAGATCAGGGTGCCAGCATGGTCAGGTTCTGGTGATAACCCTCTTCTGGGCTGCACACGGCCATCTTTTTTTTTTTTTAATTGTTTTTAATGTTTTATTTATTTCTAGGAGAGAGAGAGAGAGAGAGAAACAGCGTGAGCAGGGGAGAGTCAGAGAGAGAGGGAGTCACAGACTGAAACAGGCTCCAGGCTCTGAGCTGGCAGTCAGCACAGAGCCCGACGCGGGGCTCGAACCCACGAACCGCGAGATCATGACCTAAGCGAAAGTCGGACGCCTAACCGACTAAGCCACCCAGGCGCCCCTGCACATGGCCATGTTATGGTTATATCGTCACGCAGCAAAAATAAGGCAAGGGGATTCTCTGGGGGTTCTTTGATAAGGACACTGAGCCCACTCATGAGGGAACCACCCTTCATGATCTCATCACTCCTCAAAGCCCCCAGTTTCTCCTACAACCCCATTGTGGGTGAGGATTTCAACATATGAATTTTGAGGGGGCATATTCAATATAGGACAAGATTCCCCACTTTCCGTGATTCTATTCAGCTTAGTTCTAGAAATCCTCTTCAGAGCCAGGAGGCAAGAAAAAGAAATAAAAGGCATCCAACTTGGAAAAGAAGGAGGAAAATTATCTCTGTTCACAGATGACATGCTCTTAATGTAGAAACTCCTCAAGATTTCACCATAAAAAACCTGGGAGAGCATTCAGCAAAGTGGCACGATACAAAATCAACATGTAGCAATCAGTTTCACTTCTGTACACTAACGAAGACAATTCAGAAAGGAAATTAATTCTATTTATAATAGCATCAAAAGAATCAAATACTTAGCAATGGACTTAACCAAGGAGGGGAAAGACTGTACACCGAAAATTACAAAATGTTGCTGAGAGAAATTTTAAAAGACATAAATAGATAGAAGACCTCCCAAGTTCATAGGCTGGAAATTGTTAAGATGATAATATTACCCAAAGGGATCTACAGATTCAAGGCCACCCTGTCAAAATCACAATGACATTTATTTTGCAGAAATTTAAAAAAAATATTCTAAAATTCACATGGGGGGGGCGCCTGGTGGCTCACTAGTTACACATCTGATTTCAGTTCACAGTTTGTGAGTTTGAGTCCCATATTGGGTAAATTCGAGTCCTGATTGGGGTGATTATGAGCCCCATTTTGGGTAAAACATGATTCCTGCTTTGGGTGAGCCCCATTTTTCTCTCTCTCTCTGCCTCTTGCTCACTTGTGCCCCCCATCTTTCAAATAAATAAACAAATACATACATACATACATACATACATACATAAAATTCATATGGGGCCCTGCATGCCCAAAACACTCTCAAAAAAAGAAGAACAAAGTTGGAGGACTCAAATTTCCTGATTTCAAAACTTACTACAAAGCTATAGTCATCAAAACAGTATGGTACTGATGTAAGAACAAACATGTAGACCAGTAGAATAGAATAGAGAGCCCAGAAATAAACCCTCAAATATACACTCAAATGATTTTTGGTAGAGATGCCAAAAACATTCAGTTTAGAAGAGTCTTTTCAGCAAATGGTGCTGGGAAAACTGGGTCTCCACATGCAAAAAAGAAAAAGATGAAATTGAACACTTACCGCACACTACGTCCAAAAATTAATGCACAATGAAAATAAATTAACTCAAAATGAATCAGAGACTTAAACATAAGAGCTATAAAGAAGAAAACATAGGGCAAAGGCTTCACAACTTTGGATTTGGCAATGGTTCATTGGAGATGACACCAGTATATATATATATTGGAATTTATCAAATTCAAATTCAAATAATTTATCAAAACTAAGAACTGTTGGGGCGCCTGGGTGGTTCAGTCGGTTGAGCGTCCGACTTCGGCTCAGGTCATGATCTCACGGTTCGTGGGTTCGAGCCCCGCGTCGGCTCTGTGCTGACAACTAGCTCAGAGCCTGGAGACTGTCTTTGGATTCTGTGACTCCCTCTCTCTCTGACCCTCCCCTGCTCACACTGTCTCTCTCTCTCTCACAAATAAATAAAACATTAAAAAAACAACAACAACTAAGAACTCTTGTGCATCAAAGGAAACAATCAAGGGGCGCCTGGGTGGCTCAGTCGGTTGAGCATCTGACTTGGGCTCAGGTCATGA